GTGGGTGTGGGTGTGGGTGTGGGTGTGGGTGTGGGTGTGGGTGTGGATGAAGATGAACACACCCACACCCACACCCAGCCACACCCTTCGTAATGAAAGTTATCGCAGAGAAAAATCATTTCGAACATCCGAACCTATGACAGGAGTTCGGAATGACTTAGTACGAAATGTGCGCAACCAATCTTAGCTGATTTTCATAGAAGCCCAATAGCCACCAGTATTCAAGTTCATACTTTCATAGCAAAATGTTTTGAATAAAATCGTTTCTGCTAGTACGATCTTTCTAACTACTAGCATCATGCAACCGCAATAATATTTAAGTATCAATAGACTTCACATAGGAAGTCTAATGTAAAAATCTTACATATTAGCTCACATTATCTTTCTCTCTACAGTAGTATTCTTATGTAGAGTGGAATATATTTCAGCTGTGTTAAGGAACTAAGTATTTCAAATAAGAATAGATTAAATCTATCAATGGTAAAAGAATTAAAGCATTGTTTTGAAAAGACTCAAAGAATAGTTAGCTGATGTTCAATCCTAGTTGCTGCAAGTCCTAGTCAAAACTTTGTGAAAGAAATCTTCATTGGTTCTGAATATTAGCATACTAATCATGACAGACTAAAACAAAAGTTGCTACTACGAGAAGGTTCAAGAATTGTACGAGTTTGATATTATATGGCTTAGCAGAACTAAACTAACAAACTGATTCGCAAAAACATTGGTTGTTTAGCTAATACATGAGTGCACTGCTTTTTTCGTCAGTTAAATCAAGAATCTGGATCAGCTGTCTTTTCCCCAATCAAGTCATGAACTTGGACCGGCCGATTTTTGCCGGTTTTTCATCGGTCCAGACTAAATTAGAGTCATCGACATTAGTATCTACTAAAGCATGTATTGTGCCTATTACATAGTGTTAGCGAGAGAGACAATACACTGTGGCAGTTAATTGAGATTAAGATGTTTTTTTGTCTATTTTATTTCTATTCAAAACATGTCACTTATAACTCACGTATGCTGCTTACACATACACTTATCGTTGTCTATGAGAGAGCTTGGATAGTTATACAGCAATTACTTATACCACATCCGCATTCACACCCCTCTTAAATTCTTGTTTGATCCTTGCGAGATCTGCAAAGAGTGTGACTCTGAAACATCAACGATTTTCCCAAGGGACGACAAATTAATTATTGTTAAATTTGGAATAAAAAATGATTATATTCTAATATATCCACTGGTAAAAAGAATTTAATTTAAAATTTGCGATTGTAAACAATCGATCCACATTTATCTAATACATGCAATAAAATGCATTGATTGACAATATTCATAAAACTTAAAGATCTAAATGGGTTTATGCAGGATAATGTGTGTATTAAAAAAAAGAGCTTATCACTGAAATTTATTATTATGAACTATAAATAATGGAGAAGCGGTACAAGTTATGAGTGAATTATCAATATTGATGAATTTTTTTCGATAAATAGAGACTAATAACGAAATGAATATCAAGCAAAGTGATTGTTGTGATGATCATGTAAAATGTAGAATGATGAAAAGATTGGTCGAAAGACAACAGTCTGTAGATATTGATTTATTTCTTCTAAATATATATTTTATTAACTTCATACATGTATAATACTTTTATTTTTTGTTGTAAAATTTTCTAATTTTCTATAAAATCCGTAATTTGTTTATTTTCTTCTTTTGACTGAATAAATCGTAGATTTTGAACATATTCCGCTATTCAGACCCACATTCACAATGTTACATGAAATCTCTCGTTTATTTAAATAGAGTACTTACGAAAAATAATATGAAAGCCGTGAATGGTAAAAATAAAACTTGATTTATATTTAGTGGTCCATTTTGCTTTATTCTAATATACTGTAGAAGAAAATAAAATTTATTTTAGTGAAAATCATAAAATTATTGAATGTTTGTTTTATAGTTCAAGACTTTGTGCTTGTTAATAATCAATAAATAAAAACAAATTGCATAAAAAATGTAGATTATTCGTTATATCACTGTCATTTATACAACTTTCGCTAGTATATTTTCACATTTTATTGTTGCCATTAAGTTGTAACAACAAACATACTTGATCAATATCAATGTATGGTTTTTCGTTTATCGATATAATCAGTGAATAATACACTCATAATATGTTTTTTTATAAGTATACTTGTATGGTTTATAATTGAAAGACTACTTAAATATATAGGTTTTTTATTAGCTTCCGGCAATTTCTTTATTAAAGTAAATATATGAAAAGTTGATCAGATTTATATTTTATCATTTATCTATACTAGATAAAATTCTATTTTGCATAGAGCAAAACAGAAAATTAATAAACGATTATGAAACATTTTCGATATTTAAAAAAACAAATTACAGACAATCAAATTTTTTTTTTCATCATCTGTAGTTAATCTTTGGACTCTACCTATAAACGTTTATTATATCTAAAAATTTGCCTTTCTGTTTAAATTTATTGAAATTAAGAAACAAATAAAAAAGAAGCATAATTTGAATATTCTGTTCACTATTTAAGAACATGAAAAATCTTCATTGCTTACACCACTTGAACATGAACTTGCTTCCCATGCATATTTCACCTTGCTATCTTTAACAATTTTTCCGCATCCCGTCATTGTATAGGCTTGCATGATAAGTTTACACGCCTGCTCACAGTTCTTCATAGCAACATCGTCACATCCACAAAGCTTGCATGACGAAATCTCCAATGAATGATACGGGAAATGAAGTTGATGTGAAACAATTTTGCATTTACATCTATATCAAAGTATTTCGATTTTTTTAAATTTCTTCTACATTCAAAAATTGGTTTTCACTTACTCTCGATTTATAAAATTACCGTTGACACTTATAAAGAGTGTAAGTAAAACAAGAAGAAAAAGCTTTATCATAGGTTTTGATTTGAAAAATGTATATTAATCGTACTTTTACTCTTACATTTATATGCTGTACATTCTAGATGATTCATGGTTACTTCGTTTTTTTTTTCTCCTTTTATCGTATTATAAGGGATTAATGAAATAATTTATAGGTATGATTCGTAGTAATGCCATAGAACTAAAAATGGTTGATTCATGACAACCGTTATTTAATGAAAAGAAAAAAGAGAAAATTTAAGAGAGAAAATATTAATATAAATCAAACGTACACCTAAATACAAAACCAAGGTCGATATGTCAATGTAATACGTAGGTGGTAGAGGTGAAGTATTTATTTTATATCCAGATATTCA